AATGCTATCTGCTTTTTGGCACTAGTGTCTTGTATCTCTCTGTAGTTTATCGCTTTAGAGTCCTTTATTCAGTCTTTTTATAAAATCCCATTATTTAAAAATTGAGGGCAGAGCGATGGCATGTAAGGAGCTTTATATATGAGGCCGATGCTCAGTGATAACCCTTTCTCCTCTACTACTCAACAAACTCTACTTTATTGAAAAACACGGGCAAACCTACAGAAAGTATTGAAATGTGAGTCATAATCCACGGTTCACTTCTAATACTTGCCAGATTCTTATCATAATTTTTACATAGGAAAAACTAAATTCAGAAAGTGGGAAAACATTCTGAAGGTGGGGTGGGGATATTTCTATTAAATCAGGCTCAGAATTTTTTTTTCAGTTGATTTCACTTATAAAGTGGTTACAATATCCCCAAACAAGAAAAAATAGATGGACAGATATATGATTAAAAAGACAGAGTCAAATATCACTTGTAGAATCAAGGTTTTCACTGTTTGGCTCTTTCATGGTTTTACTGTGTTGGAAATTTTTCATAACAAATCATTCAAAACACAAAATATTCAAATATTGCTCTGGATCCGTTAGTGAAGAGGGAATGGACATTTGTTTGTTTCATCCAATGATTATTTCATTTCCAAGTTTAAATAATCTGGCAGCATGTTTGCTGAGGAAATTCCATACTTCCATCTGAATATGAGGAAACATGAATTTGGAGGAAAAATCTATAAATTAAATTACAGTATGTAAAAAAACCCCACAATTGGTAGCAAGAAAGTAGCAATGGGAACTGTATTTTTGCAAAAGGTTCAGGAAGAAACCAAAGTATAAAAAGTGCCTGTTCTTCATTCCATAGAATTAAATTAAATTAAACTGACAAACCATAAAACTAATACTGAAAATAAAATTTGAGAGTAGCAATTGTTGACTTAGTTTTTATTTTTAATTTTTTTTTTTTTTTTTTACAAAAACATTTCCAATTCCCAGCCATCCAGACACCAAAAAGTGGGAACTAACTTACTTCTGGGGATGAGGACTCTGTTGTGTTAGGCTTCTCTGGCTTAGCCATGGCGTTCTGGGACTTGGATATAGTTTTGATGTCTCTGCCTCCTCCCCTCCTTCTGCAGGGAAAGAGGACGAGGACGAGAGCAGAAGTATCAGATGGCCTGTAGGCGCCCATCTATGTAGTAGCACAAATACCAGCTGAATGTATTTTTGATCAGGTACAAAGAAACAAATGGCTGTTGGTTTTTCCAAATGTTGTTTACCCTCCTGATATTCTTCCCAACTCCCATCATGTATAAATATGTATGGTATTTATTTTAGTGTGCAGCTGAGAACAAACGAAGCAAGGTACTCTGGTACCAATACAAAGTTACTGAGCTTTTAAACTGAATGGATTTGGGACTAACTTAATGGCTAGTTTCAGGATAAATTTTGCTGAAATAGAATATCCAAAAAGATTTTTAAAATGAGTGGGAAGGGAGGGAGAGAAAAAGAGGTGTGTTTCTTAGTACTTAAACTTTGCATGAAATTTTGTGGCAGAGCAAGGGACTGGGGATGATTTTGGCCTCTGTTTTTAAATATGTCTAGACATCTAATTTTCAAGCAAATGTCAACTATCAGGCCACAGCACATACACCCTTTTTGAAACAAAATATTCAGAGCAAGGGTTAAGAAGCAATAACAGCAGAAGTGAAGGATGGAAAGGGGTATTTTACCAGGGGTAAAAAGTATGTGGAAAATGAATAAAGGAGGGTTTAAGAGCTTGATATTAGCGCATCCTAGTTCAGATACACCAGGGAATGAAAGTGAGGAAAGGGAAGGAAGGAAGGAATCTTTTGGTCAGAAACTTCATTGTTGAAAATGTTTTAAATAAAAATCTGAACATCCTGCTTCCAGAATTTTCTGTTTCTTTTAAAACAATTTTAACACTTCTAAACTACAACCAAAGGTTGTGGTAGGCTGTCAGAACGATTTTTTAAAAGTTTTTTTAGTTGTACATGGACATGATACCTTTATTTATTTCTATGTGGTGCTGAGGATGGAACTGAGTACACGTGCAAGTCTTGTGCTCTACCACTGAGCTACAACCCCAGCCCCTGTCAAAATGATTTTCAAAGATAGCTTTGGAGTAGTGAACAAGGGGATTGGGGTGATGAAGATGGATTACGTTTTAGTCCACTTTGTGTTGCTGTAAGAGCATATCTGACACTGGATAATTTGCAAAGTAAAGAAATATACTCCTCACAGTTCTGGAGCTGGGAAGACCAAGAATGAGGGGACAGATCTGGGAAGAGCCTTCTTGCTGCATCATAACATGGCAGAGGACATCATATGACAAGATGAAGCGTACAGGACAACCTAGTTTCATGGCAAAGCTACCCCTGGACTAACTAGCCCATTCCCTCAATAATGACATTAATGTATCCATGAGAATGGATTATTTCTGACACCTCTAAAGTTCACACCTCCCAGTTCCCCAGCAGACTGGCAACTGAGTTTCAACATGAGCTTTGGAGAGACATTCAAATCACAGCAGACTGAAATGCACCAGGAGGCAAAACTAAGACCCATCCGCACTTCAATCTCTGAAAGGCATCGGCTGCCAGAACTTCTGTCAACCAGCAGTAATACAATTTAAACAGCACATACTTTATCAGCCAAGGCTCAGTGAAGGTAATGAAATGCACACTATAATGTTAAGAAAAAATAAGGATTTGATAGAAGTTATTTTAAAACATTGCTAGAGGGCTGAAGGCAGTTGGGTTCCAGGACAGAACAATGGAAGGCTGATCCACCAAGATCCTTACCCCACAGTCTGCTGCTGCTGTGACTGCTGCTGGTCACCCAGGAATCCAGGTAACAAGCCTTGGAACACGCAGCAAGACAAGCTCACTTTTTCTAGACCTTGCCAGAAAGAACTGAAATACCGATGGGGAGTGGGGCAGAAAAATGGTCTCCACCTCATTTCTGTCTTCTGGATGTTGTGTTAAGTGCAGCTAATGGACGGAAGGTAGTTACTACCCAAGCTTAGTTGCAGGGGCATCTTATAAATATAGTTGCTCTTTTAAAAAAGAGCAACTATATTTATAAGATTTAATTTAACTTAATTTAATTTAATTTCTGACTACTTTAGGTCTAAGAAAGATTGAAAGGGAGAGTTATCCCATAATACCCACTACGGATCCAATATCCAGGAACAGAAAAATATCTGCCAATACTTGTATAGTTATTTTGCATTTCAATTACTGGACCATTTAGTAAATATAGTTGCCCTTTTAATTTTTTTAAAAGGGCGACTATATTTATAAGATGCCCCTGCAATTAAGACTTGGGTAGTAACTACCTTCTGTCCATTAGTTTATATAAAATGTAAACATATATCTGAATTATTTATATAAGTAATTAATATTCAGAGAAGTAAAGGTACATTTTACTGATAGTTTAGATTTCAATCTTGATCTTGCAACTCATTAAAAATGTGGTCTTGGGGCTAGGGTTGTGGCTCAGTGGTAGAGTGCTTGCCTTGTGTAGGTGAGGCACTGGGGTTTGATCCTCAACACCACATAAAAATAAATAAACAAAATGAAGGTATTGTGCCCATCTACAACTAAAAAATATATTTTAAAAAAGAATATGGTCTTTTCTATCAGTTATGTAACTTGTGTAAATCTTAGTTTTCTCATCCTTAAAATGAGAATTATAAGAGTAACATCTCATAGACTCAGTGACAAGAATGGATGAGAAAATAGATGTAAAGTGCTTATGTAATGTGATTAATTATTTCTGTTTTGTTGCTGAGGTCATTTGTGTTGCTTGTTGGACTCAGGCACTTCACCACCACGGCTTAAGTCTGAATCTGGTTATGGAATTTACTAAAAATATCACTGTGAGAAATTTACCTAAAATTTCTATGCCTCAGTTTTCTTATATGAAAACTTGAGGTTATAATGCTGTTATATTGGAATGTGATTAAGAAATGAATAAAATAATTCATACAAAATTTTAATAGTGTCTAGCACAACATAAAATCCAAGATATTTTTAAAAACATTTTAAATTTAGCTGGGTACAGTGGTGCACACCTGTAATCCCAGCAACTTGGAAAGCTGAGATGGGAGGATCACAAGTTCAAGGCCATCCTCTGCAACTTAGCTGGACTCTGTCTCTAAATAAAAAATGAAAAGATCTGGGCATACAGCTCAGTGGTAGAGCATCCCTGTGTTCAATCTGTGTACTGCCAGAAACCAAGTTAAAGTTAGTTACTGAATTTACTTTACCAATATCAGTCTAGTCAACTTTTTATTTTTTCTTGGAAATTTTAAGAACAAAAATATAGTTTTTGCATCCTTTTGAGAATCATCTCTTGCTGTTTATTATATTTTTTAGACACAGATTACATTATAAATTATCTCAGGCTAATCCCAGCAGCTTGGAAAGATGAGGCAGGAGAATGTCGAGTTCATAACTCAGCCTCAGCAAAAGTGAGGCACTAAGCAACTCAGTGAGACCCTGCTCACATTTGTGATGATTCCAATGTAAACGAACCTATTTTACTTCCAGGCACATAAAAGTATAGCACAATTATGTACAATATGGTTTAAATATTTACTGTACTATACTTTGATTATTATTTTAGAGTGAACTACTATTTTAAAAACCAACTCTAAAACACTATTTCTGTTATACCAACAGCAGCTTCATATATCTTTTTATTTTATTTTTACTTTTGCACAGAAATTATTCCAAGTAGACATTTACTATTTTCTATTTCAAACATTATTTCCCTGTGTTATTTGTATTTTGTGAATTTGTATTTTCACCAATTAGGATGACTTTTGAAATTTTTTATTTATATATAACAGCAGAATGCATTACAATTCTTATTACATGTATAGAGATCAATTTTTCCTATCTCTGATTGTATACATAATATACTCACACCAATTCGTGTGTCTTCATACATACACTTTGGATAATAATGATCCTCACATTAAAAATATGGAACGATTCATGAATTTGCATGTCATTCTTGCGCAAGAGCCATGCTAATTTTCTTTATATTGTTCCAATTTTAGTATACATGCTGCCGAAGTGAGCACGTATGTATCTTGTATTTATGGAATCTCTTAATTGAATCAAAAGGCCACGTGGTATGATTGACCTGAGCCATCTAGGTTTGTGTAAGAAAAAGGAGAATAAGGAAGTATGACAATGGAACACTTCTTGATATTTGGATATAAGAGTGAAAGGTTTTTAGCCGATGCTATGAGTAGTAAAAATTAGAGGATAGTGACAAAGAACTCATTGGCTTGGTGTTGGGGATCATTGAGGAGCAGAAGAATAAATGGAGAGTATAGTTTTAAAAGGAGTTTCAAGGGGGTATGTAAAAAATATTGACTGGTTGAATGAAAACATTTCTAGAGATTATTTTTAAAGAATTTTTAAGAAGCTACATCTTTGACATTTTCTTATGTGTAAAAACTGGAATTCTCGATCACTACCTTAGAGAAGTATAAAATTATAATCATTTATTATTAGCATATATTATGCCAGAAATGGGGTCACATGGATCCCTGACTTATATTTGGGTTATCTTGTGGGACCTATAGCCCAGAATTTTAAAACAAACTTACTGTACTCAACATTAAAATTGCTCTGTACTTGAGCTAAGAGTACATTTCATTTTTGTTGTTGGTTTTGGTTGGTTAGTTTTGTAGGCTAGAATGGTATAATATAGGCATCAGCAAGACTAAACTTTATGACTCTTGGGATCATGTCACAATGCCAAGCAGTATGCTGATAATTTTGAAGTCAAAATTTAAAATTTTATTCCAAGTGCCCTGATCAAGATAAGATATGCCAGAAAGAGAAGAAAATCTATTCAACATCACAGAAATTCATTAATTGAAGAAATTTGAAGTAAATTTCTTCATTACATTTCCAACCAACGGTAAGTTTTAACCAAGACCACAAACAACTCATTTTTGAGGGATTTAAAATTCTTCCTTCAGATAACATCCAAATAAGATAAACTTGGACCTCTGAGAATGAGAGAATGTCTCTACCACTGCGGGACTTAACAGTTTGTACAAGTTTTGGTGGTGGTATTTTCAATTATTCATTCAGACTAATTACAAAAATTTTCTTAAAGCTTGAGAAATTAATGAAAATTATCAAATAGAGAAAAGTGACTTGGTCATGGGACATGCCACTAAATTAGGTCTAGTGATGGCCATCCCTGGGAGCCGAGAAATACTAAATGTAAATCTAAAAGACTTGAAAATGGGGTTTTTCATGCACTCAGCTCCACAGAAATGTTTTTGAGATAGACTTATTTACTGAGAAATTATTGCCTGAACTTATATGACAGAACAAATAATCATGACCATTTTAATTAAATGAGTTTAAGTTTAGAGTAGCAGGGCGCAATGGCCCATACCCATAATCCCAGCAGGTAGATTGCAAGTTCAAAGGCAGCTTCAGCAATTTAGCAAGGCCCTAAGCCACTTAGCAAGACCCTGTCTCAAAATAAGATATTTTTAAAGGGTTGGGGATGTGTCTGAGTTGTTAAGCATCCAATCCCTGGTACCAAAAATCAATTAATTAGTTTATTAATTTTCAAAGTATGTAAATAAATACAGATGTGTTTTCTAACTGGGCCTACTTATGTTAATTTTGTCTATTTGTTTGGATTACTAGGATTTATATCAACTCAGAGAAATTTACTTTTGTCTTTCACATAGACTCTGAAGTCTTCAACTTGTATTAGCCTGTACTTTTCTACCAACCACTTAATGCCTCAAAAGAAGAAATATGATGAGAAAGAATTTCAGATTAAAAACCTGAGATTGCTCTTATATTTTTATCTCTTGTGTCCTTGCTTCAAAACTTCACTTTGTAGCCACCACACAGAGAATGAGATCTAGGTAATGGGAACAACGCAAGCTACTTTTATATAAACTTGGCTGGAGAGCTCTTATTGAGAGTAGATTTCTTCTAATGGGACCTGAACAATCCAAAGAAGGTCTCTTCCAAGATGAAAATGGTTAAACATTCTTTATATTAATGGTCATAGGTAAATGTAAGAAAAGGTAAAATGTAAACTCAGTTATATATTAAATGGTATCATAAAGCCCAAACACATACTATTCTAGGAATATAAGAATGCTGCCATGTTAAGAATTCTGTTCTCATACTTCATTATAATAATACATCAAAGACAACAAGTATATATTATTAATTATTATAAAAACTATTGATAAAATTCAATACCCAGTTTAAATAATTAGATAGATGATAGAGAGATAGAGATAGATAAAGAGATGAATAAAATTTCTGAAAATCAAGCTAGAGAATCAATTATTTACTATAGGAGCAATAAATATACTCTTAAGAAAGAATATGATGGGCTGGGGATGTAGCTCAGTTGATAGAGTGTTTGCCTCACATGCACAAGGCCCTAAGTTCAATCCCCAACACAAAAAGAAAAAGAAAGAATATGAAATAAAAGATAAGTGACTTTGATTTTTTAAATTTTCAAAAATTTTCTATGGAAAAATATCATAAATAAATCTAAAAAATTGATGGGAAGGGGAATTGCATGCTAGAAGACGGAGGTTTAATACAATGAACTATTTAAAATGAAAACAAGGAGATAATCTAAGAGCAAAATAGGCCAAAGATGCAGAGAAACGATTCATAAAACCAAATCTACTGCTATCCATCTTAAACTGAGATGCTCCAGGTCACTACCTGTGGAAATACAATGGGATCAACCCTTTTCATATTGGCACAAATTAAACCAGGCAAGATAAAATAATAACTGCTATTGCTGGCTTGTCACACTATTAGTAGCAATATGAATTTCATAGAATTTTAGAAAGCAACTTAGCAATATGTATGAAATAAATATACATATTTATTTTTAGTTTCATGCATATATACTTTTGACTGCACTTCCACCTTGGGAATCTATCCCATGGAAATAAAAGCACTGCTAAATGAACAAAAAAGCTTATTTTAGCATTATTAGTAGTTTGAAAATGGGAACTAAGTAATTGTTAATAAGAGATTATTATCTATTAATCTCACAGAATATTATGTAGCACTTAAAATAATGAATTATATCTATATTTGTTGGTTTAGAGGGATTTCCATGAATAATTCTGAAGTGAAAGAAGCAAAATGTGAATATGTCATTTCTGTTAAAATACAAGCATGTCAATATTATTTACTGAATATTCAGTTATCTGTAAGACACTGTCCTTGGGATTAGTACAGTGAGAGAAATAAATGAATTACTGGTGGTTTGAAGGTATAACACTTGCATAATTAAAGACAGACAACAATTTAATGTAGAATAAGAAAGTCTCTCCTGATATTTGGCTTTGAAAATTCCAAGTGATAAAGAGAACATGAGCCCATGCTCTGGATAGATGTTAAGAAAGTCCACATTTAAAGACATTTATTTTTTTATTTTTGTTTCCTTTTGGAAAGGTGCCTTATATATTTATGATGTGAACTTAAGTAAAATAGTTCTAATAAAAATTTATCCATCTTAAAAAAAAAAAACAAACGAGTGGCTTAGGTGCTGCTTGGTTTCCAATGAGTTATAACAGTTTTGAAATCCATGTGGGTCAATATTTCCTACTGCTTAGTGAAACTTGTCACTCATAATAGTCTTAGTTTCTCATAATTATGATGCTAGCAACAGGTACTAATAGAAAGAGAAATTGAGTTAACATAAGTACAGCACTCAATACAGTGCCTGACACCGAATCAAGTGTATTGAATGCCAGTTGTTATTCTGTCATTTCTATCTTGGAACAATTTAAATTTACAGATGACTGTGAACCTAGTACAGAATTCCCTCTCTCAGTTCTCCTACTGATACCTTATATAATTGTGGTACTTGGGGTATATTATTATAAAAACTAAGGAACCAATATTTCCACATTGTGATTGAGCAAACTCTAGACTTTATTTGGATGCTACTAATCCTTCCACTCATGTCTTTTTTTGCCCTTCAGGATGCGATCTCAAATACCACTTTGTGTTCTCTTGGCTTGAGTTCTTGGGCTCCTAGTGTTCTGGCAGTTTCTTAGTATTTCCTTATTGATTCATGATCTTGACAGTTTTGAGAATTATTGGATAAGTATTTTGCAGAATGTTCTCAACATGGGTTTGTTACGTGTTTTTCTCATGGTTAAAATGGGGTTGCACAATTTTTGAAAGAACATCGAGAAGCTAAGTGCCCTTTTCAGTACATTATCTCTACAGAAACTTGCTGTCAGTATGACTTATGAATGATGATATTAACCTTGATCACCTGACCAAGGTAGTATTTGTCAGGTTTCTCTACTATAAATTCACACATGCCCTTTCTACGAGTTGTTTTTGGGAAGCATGAAACTAAGTCTATCCCATATCCAAAGGACAGAAAGGGGACAAAATTAAACTTTTCTTTCTAGATATGGAAGCATCTGCATATATTATTAAGAATTATTATGTAATAAAGACTTTTTCCTCTCCTATTTATCCAATCAAGTATTTACTAACATATGTTTATTTTATAATTTGAGTTATATTCTAATGCTACATTATTTTGCTATTAATATTCTTCAATTTTAGATAACGTTAGACATTGAGAGCTTTTCCAGGTTGGCTCCTCAGTCCCTTTGACATGTCCCAATCTTTTTGGTCTTTTGAGTACTTCCTTACTTTTTGTCACTACACAGTTCTATAGGAGCTTCTTGTATTAGCTCTGGCCAAACCCTAGAATCGTCCATTTCTTCAGTAGTACTGGCTGCTTCTATTGGAAAGTGATATTTGGAAAACATTGCTACCGACGGTGTCACTCATTCCTAGCACTGTTCCTCTATAACACAAACAATGCCCATGCTTATATACACACATACACTTACCCATCTGTGATTGTATATCCATCTGCATTTTGTCTTTAACCTCCAGTTTCTAACCAGAACTCATTTTCTGAAGTTACTTGGGTCAGCTTCTTTCTTTTTTTCCATGCCTTTTATTGTGTTGCAGTCACTTAGGATGAAACGTTCATACCAAGGTATGTACAGTTTTATCCTTAAGT